GAGAAGAAGCTAGACGCGTTTTTTTATTTTCCGCATGAAGAGAAGCAAGGCCCACGAACCGCAACAGCTCCTATAAATAACAACTTGATTTCTTCTCCTAGGGTTTCGTGCAATTAAGGGTGTGCAGGAGAGAAAAAGTCGGCTACTTACTTTGTGACGCCCCTAGGTTCACACAAGGCTGCAGTCCGAGGTGAAACCAGGAATGTCAAACCTGCCATGCACCACACCGTGCCATAACATGTTTCACCATCACAATCATTATCTCTCTAGTGGAGTCAACAACAGATGTAGGTACAAGGCAAGTAAAAGGTTTTATAGCAGAAACTTGGTACAATGATAGAACATCAATTTAACACATCTCATCAACACAATAAACTGAAATGCATAGACAAGTCTGAAGTGAAAAGAGATGACAATCTGGAGATCTCACATGCCTCAAAATACATAATGACTGATACAGGAAAATAAGGCATCACAGCCTTTACAACTCTAGAGCATATACCTCTCTAGCCTAAAATACCTCAAGTGGAGAAAGAAAATAAAATACATCTAATGAGAGGATCAAAAGACACTAGTAAGGGTCGTCCTCAACCTGCGACTCTCCGGGCTCCTGGCTCGTTACCTGAAAGGGGGGAGGGACAACGAGCGTCAAAGCGCTAGCGAGCAACATCACAACCAACCCCAAGGGATAGGGCTAGTTGTATATGAAAATACAGTTAATACATAATAATATAAAATTATTTCCAACACGAGGACTTCTATGGATTATAGTCCAACACGAGGACTTCTATGGATTATAGTCCAACACGAGGACTTCTATGGATTATAGTCCAACACGAGGACTTTAATGGGTTGTAGTCCAACACGAGGACTGCGTACCAAAAAGTATACATGTCTATATTCCCGTACATACTCTGCTGTACTGACTTAAACTCGTGTTCAAAGTATCATCTCACATGAACAGGTGAATTCATAATCACCGTATGCATAAATACTTATATACACCCAACATGTATTTTAAACAGAAGCATGAACGAAACAGAAAGAAAATACTATGATGAGTCGACTTGTACTCAAATATGAGTCGACTCAACAGAACACATTTGATATCAGAAAAGGACTCTGTGAGTCGACTCATGACAGTCATGGGTCGACTTTTGGCTTATGGGTCGATTCATATACTGACGAGTCGACCCAGCAGAAACAACATGCAACACAACAAGACTTCGTGAGTCGACTCATGATAGTCATGAGTCGACTCAACATGATGAGTCGACTCTTGATGAGTCGTGAGTCGACCTACGGGCTGAAATCTGCATATAATACAAGTTAAATTCACCAACACGATTCTTCCCTCTAATTCACTAATCTACATCTTTATAACCATCAATTCTAGACTATGATACAGAGATAAATTCACATATAGCATAAGGAATATTTACTTATGTGTTAAATCTAACAATTTACCCCAAAACATGAAAAAGGGCATTTGATCAAAAAGAAAACTCATGTTTTTATTTCTTAGAAATATTTCCAGATCTTGGTTTTTCTTCAAAAATTCGTGGGTGGGGATTTAAAATCTGAAACACATGATTTCTAGCATCTACCCTAACAAGAACATTGTTTTATACTTGAAAATAAGTCTTGGGCTCAATAAAACTCATGGAAAACCATTGTAAACTATTAAAAACGTGGGAGAGGGGTTTGGCGAGATGTTACTCGCCTGAGAAATGATGAAGAACAGATCCCTTCTCTGAAATCCTCACAAAGCCGCTGAGAAAGCCTTCGAAACGCCCCAAAATCTCCAAGAACACCTAGGGTTTTAGAGAGGAGAGAGGGGGACTAGGGTTTCTGGGGAAAACTGATGGAAATGAGGTGATTTCGGGTAGGGGAGTATATATATAAGTGGATAAAACCCGACCCGAAACCCAACAAACCCAAACTGAGAAAACTGGAAAATCCTCAATGAGTCGACTCATCACAGTCATGGGTCGACTCATGACTTCCTGGGTCGACTCGTAACATAATAAGTCGACTCAGCAAAAACAAAAGGCAACAGGACTCGATTTCGTGAGTCGACTCATGAAAATCATGGGTCGACTCATGGACTAAAAACTGCATATGATGGTTCTGCTGCATATAATGAAATTTGCACACTCAAACCCATTACTGATGCACATAAACATGATCAAAATCTACGGGGTACGGGGTCTTACATTCTTCCCCCCTTAAAGGAATTTCGTCCTCAAAATTCAGAAATCATATCTAACTCATAAAGATACAAGAAAGACATGACAAGGGTTAAATTTAACCCGCACACATACACATTTTATAATACCGAATTCTAGTTAGCACACAGCGATATTCATATTTAACGATCTAAAATGATGATATTGTTACCTAACCCCTAATCTAACGGAACTAGTACGTCGGGCGAAAAATCTAAACAAGGAACCCCCATGTATATACCACGTGTTCCGAAAGATTAAGAATTAAGTAAAAGTACCCTCATTCTAGTGTTAAATATAAATATCAAAACATAATATAATTATTCAAGTAAGAAGTCATATCGGTTTTACCTGCTCGAACAAGTGTGGGTAGTCGCGTCGCATGTCCTCCTCGCGCTCCCAAGAAGCTTCCTCTACTCCACTTCGGTTCCATTGAACTTTTACCAATGGAATCACCTTGTTCCTGAGTCTCTTGTCTTCTCTAGCAAGTATGGCCACTGGAATCTCAATAGTCGACAAATCATCCCTAAGCTCGATCTCCGGTGTATCCAACACTCGTTGCCGCTCCTCATCGTGCAAGTGTTTCTTGAGCATAGAAATGTGGAATACATTGTGTATACTAGACATAGAAGCTGGAAGATCTAGTCTGTATGATACAGTTCCAATGCACTCCAAAATCCGAAAAGGTCCAATATATCTCGGTGCAAGCTTCCCTCGCCTCCCGAATCGTTGTACGCCTTTCATAGGCGATACCTTCAGCATAACCTGATCCCCAATCTGAAATTCTAGGGGTCTTCGCCTCTTATCTGCATAGCTCTTCTGCCGACTCTGAGCAGCTAGAATCCGCTCTCTGATCAGCCTCACTAGCTCTGGCCCAAGCATCAAGCTGTCCTCCGGCTCGGCCCAACATATCGGTGATCTACAAGGTCTCCCATACAATGCTTCATACGGGGCCATACCGATCGTCGCTTGATAACTGTTGTTATAAGCGAACTCTGCTAGTGGAATATGATCCTCCCAACTGCCTTGGAAGTCAATGACACATGCCCGCAACATGTCCTCCAACACCTGATTCACCCTCTCTGTCTGACCATCTGTCTGTGGGTGGAATACACTGCTATAAGATAGCTTGCTGCCAAATGATTCCTGGAAACTCCTCCAAAAGTGTGAAGTGAAAACTGATCCCCGATCTGATACGATCGTATCTGGCACTCCGTGAAGTCGAACTATCTCCCGAATGAAGATCCTCGCATAAGTCTCGGCTGTATAAGTAGTCCTCACTGGGATAAAATGTGCTGACTTCGTCAACCGATCCACTATCACCCAAACCGAATCATTCCCCTTCTTTGACTTCGGCAATCCCACTATGAAGTCCATGGAAATATCCACCCACTTCCACTCCGGAATAGGCAAGGGCTGAAGTGTCCCTACCGGTCTCTGATGCTCTGCCTTCACCTACTGACAGGTGAAACATCTAGCCACATAGTCTGCAACCTCTCTACGCATGCCGCTCCACCAGAAATGTCTCTTCAGGTCCTTGTACATCTTTGTGGTCCCTGGATGTATTGTGTACCGAGTACGGTGCGCCTCATCAAATAATTCCCTCTTCAGCTCTGCACTAGCTGGCATAACCAACCTACCCTTCATCCGTAGGCCTCCATCTGCTCCAATGGTCCAATCAGCCTTAGGCTCCTTGGAAATCTCCTCCTTTCGGATTTGATCAAAGAGTTTCCCGACTGAGCTCTGACAACTCTGTCACTCCAAGATGGCTGCACTGATACAGCTCCCAAAAATGCACTGGTTCCTCCAACCTCGGGTCTAAAATCAAACTGACTAAGAGTGATAAGGTCTCTGTACAATGAACATCTCAAAGCCGCAACCCGATGTCGACGCTTCCTACTCAAAGCATCTGCTACGACGTTCGCCTTCCCTGGATGATACTGAATCGCGAACTCGTAGTCCTTGATAAACTCAATCCACCTCCTCTGCCTCTGATTGAGTTCCTTCTGAGAAAAGAGGTACTTCAGACTCTGATGGTCTGTGAATAGTTCAAACT